GAGTATAACGACGATAATACGAAGAAACGTGCAACATGACTTTAGTTTTATTGGTTTAATAATAAATTACTTACCTAATGTATTCGTTAATTGACTAAGACTAGTTATGACTCCATGTAAATATTGTTTATTACGCTAAAAACGAAATATTCCGATATAATTAATAGAAAAGCTTTTTCATTAACCTCCCATAAAATTTTAAAATCTTTTTGTTCAACTCTTAAAAGCATAACTGATGATGATGTTATTATAGTAGCATTACGAGGTGTATCATATAAAATTGATTCACCAAAAGCAGCACCTGCTCCAAGACTACAAATAAGTGTATGACCCTATAAATAAAAAAAATTTAATTATTTATTAAACTATAGATAAGGAAGAAATAAATAAACTTTTCCATTTTCAGATGGAACACAAACATCAACATTTCCACTAAGAATAGCAAACCAATTAGTACCAAGATCTCCTGTACGAAAAACTATATGACGAAAATAGATTTTAAAGAAAGTAGAAAAAAACGAAATTTTCTTACGTGTAACACCTTTTTCTAAATTTTCAAAATAACTATAATAACAAAGTTGTTGAATAAGTAATGGATGAAATTTTTCAAATGCTTTAACATCTTTTAATTTCGAAAATATAATATCAAGATCATCACTTGTTCGATCTGTTGGTCTAAAATAAATTATCATAAATTAAACAAAAAAAAAAAATATCATGTTGAAAATTTTTTTACCGTTTATCTAACCGTTCAGTCCATTCAAGTGACACAAGAATTGTTTGTGATTTATCTGTTAATGGTGAACCACTTAATAACTTCATTATATATAACGAATATTTAAAGAAACAGTTTTATATATGTTTCATTTTCAAACATGTAAACTTTCAATAGATTATTGTTAATAAAAACTTTAATGTCAAACTAATAGAAAACGAATGTAAAGGTTAATTAAATTATCTATAAAAATTTTTTGATCATCTATTAAATAAAAGGGAAGCAAAAAATCCGACCATAAAGCGACGCAAAGAAGTGACAGTTTTAATGAGCTTGTCGGTGAATGAGAAAGCTTTATTTTTTCTTCTTNTTTAGACATCTGCATATCTTCGTTTTGAGACATTTTCCTATATAAATTACTTTTCAAATGCACCTCTGTATTATGAACGCACATACAAAATAAGTGAATCGTGCATGAATGTGAACAACTTCAAATTTGATCTGTTCCAATTACATGTAGACAGTCGAGTCGTTCACGAAACACAAAAACATGTTGAATATCTCTTCCATATTTCGGTCAATTAGACACATTGTTCTATCAATAATGTGGCATGATTCCTATCTACTCTTGATCATGAAAAGCTTATCAGCACTCAAAACAGAACGCGTTAAAAACCAAGCTGATATTGAATATCTAGATTTCATTAAGATATTTCACTCTCAAAAGTAAAAAGAAAAACATAGAAAAGTTATCAACTATAAAACTCTCATGAACTGGAATGAAGTTCGAAGTTCATTTCGAGATGCTTCTGACAACGATAAACAAGAACAGAAATAAAAATACTTCAAAATGGAATTTTTGATGGTGAAAGATTATATTTGTTCTCATATACTAATGCGCATAATTAAACTACTTCGCGACAGATCAAGTAGATATATCAAATTAATCAATGCGCTCAGAGAGTAAAAGCTTATCTTCTGAATGATTCCATCTAACTATCTTCTTAGATCAGATAGATAAGTCGATTAGGATGACTGTATTCGGGCAAAATTATCTTGTAATGAATAATGTCTTTCATAAAGAGTAAATAGAAAAAAAAGTTCAAAATAGATTACTTCTTGATAATTACTTTCTCGAAAGAAAAAAAAAACAATATTTTCATAACCATGATAAAGAATCTCAAGAACACATATATTTATTTATTTTTTTGAACTGTTCAGAAGTTGTTGTTGTATATTATATTTATTAGAGAGACATCTTTTTACTCAAGATACTGTGAGAGCTACAGCCATTAATAACAAAAATTTGTTAAGAAAACTGCCATCATTTATCAGATAGAGCACGTGTGATGGGGATGGACATTCGAATTTTGAGCTTCTTCTCACATCTATCAAGTAAAAAATGCATATGAGCTATCGGCTGCTGAAATATAATCTACTATCTTAGGTATGTCATGTTTCTCGATTGAAAAGCAGTTTGTAAAAAGTAAACTGGTAACAATCATATACTGTTGTTCAATATCATCATCAGTAAATGATTCAGTTTATTTGGCCTAACATGTAACGACGCTAACAATCTACTTGTTCAGGATATTACTAAACACTTTTTACGTTTGAACCATTCCACCAGGCAGATTTCTACTATTGTTTTGCTCCAACTGCATTCTACAGAACAAAAAATAGCTCAAAGCAGCGATTGAATACCAACGACAAAGCAGCAATATGTCAGTATATCGCATGTTTCTCAGCAGCATCTTAGACTATTGAAACAGTTTGTAAAGCATTCCTCGTTGTAGACTGTGCAGACAGACAGCGCACACTAGTTTAATATCTTTCACCCACTAACCTAATTCAAAACACAATTTCTCAAACATGCTATTCCAATTTGCATACATTGTATTGATACCAATAACATAAAAGAATGAAAATGTTGACTCAAACTTATATTATACCCCAAGAACGACAGCTTAGTGCATCTAGCCATTTTGGTCGTTAATTGTTTAATTAAATATGATTTGGGATGACTAATTACTCCTGTGATTTAAGCAAATCTAGATGTATATGGCGTATTGAAGTTGCAACTTCGACAGAGAAATTTGTCGAGGTTATTCTAAATCATTTATCAATAAATAAGTTCTTAAATTGAACATTGAATTGTTGAAAGTATGATCAGAAATAATTTTTTTTTCTAATAAATATTCGTTCATTTAACAATAAAGATTATTCATAAATTAAAAAGGGAAAAAGGGATTATCGATTTAAAGTTTTTTCATCTCTATTTCAGTTCGTTTCTAGTAAGCTCGGAGATCGATCGACATCTTGTAAATCATAAATTTATAGCTTTATATAGCAGATTATATGAAAATAAACGTGAAAAAAAATTATTTGTCGTAATAAATGATAAATTCCTTTGTTTATAAATAAAATCAAGTCACTTAAAAAATTCTCATGAGTAAATGCACACGTGTCTGAGATCTTGAAGTATAAAATGTATGTTAATAATACAAAAGTTAATCCAATACCATTAATTAAAAATTCAAACATTATCCAACTCAATCTAAGCAAGAATATTAATGATTAGTAATTCTATTTTAGCTGCTATGTGATAAGCATATGTACGAGCTGAATTAGTATCGTTCACTTGTTTAACAATATAAGTGTAAACAGAATATTCATCCATCAACGCTACTCAACGCTTCATTAATTGAAAACTATACCTGTATCATATTCTGCTACAACAAGTACATCTAAAAATTCTGAAAAAGAAAAGAAAAATGTTCATTAGTAACAACTACCTCAAGTTTGAAATTAGCAATCTCTCAACAACATCCACGTCATCTACAGTTATTGATAATGCATATTGCAATTTCTTGTGTGATTCTCAATGTCATAGATTGGCAGCATGCAGTTATAAATAATATTAAATGTATAATTTCGTTCTAATTGTATTTTTCTATCATTTACTTCTAATAATTTATGTTACAAATATGTACTATTGCTTCTACATCTGCAATTTTTTTTCTTGTAATTTATGAATAATCTTTTTTGTTAAATGAACGAATATTTATAAGAAAAAAAATTGTTTCTGATTATACTTTCAACAATTGAATGTTCAATTTAGGAAATTTTTTATTGATAAGTGATGTAGAATTAACTTCGACAAATTTCTCTGTCGAAATTGTAACTTCGATACGACATATATACTAGTTATTTAAAGGCTTCTAGATATTTCTAATTCACAATGCACCATTATTTGTAATCACAATCGTGCATTCATACGTAAAATAACATGTAGGTTACTTATAGTTAGGAATATTTTTCCAAGAATCTCAATATGTGTTGTAAAACTATCTAGCGACTTTAATCTTTTTAATGCTTTAAATGATTTTGAAAAATTAAATATTTTGATTCAATGAGAAATCTATGACTTTTTACCTGCGATTGTACAAGTGAAAAAGCAAGTAATAGTGCAACATTGAGCTAAAATGTGTAGAGAGAGTAGAAACAGCGAATCACCGAATGAAGATTTAAGAAATAGTACTTTGAAAAAAGTTTCATTGAGCAACGATGTCTTCAACATTCTCAGAGTTTGTACTAAAAACAGAATATCTCGATAGAGAAACCATCCCTTTTATATATGACAATAAACTATCATCAACAGAGTAAGAACAAGAGATGACAAGCAAAAACCCAATATGTATAACGAAAAAGAAAAAAATGTTAAAAACAGATCTTATTTTTCATGGCAGTTTTTTATTTTCTCCCACTCATGTATTATACTTTTGTCTCTTAATGATTGCACTCCTCCTCAAGGGACATGAAATTGAACACTCATAATCCATATTTTAACAAAAGAACAGGCCAAACAAAAATGAAAGAAAAAGAAAGAATATATGGTTTCTAATAGCGAGAATACATAGCTCGATTCAGACTAAAACCTTTTAGGGAACATGACAATCCAACTAATCAAATGTTTGTAATCAATGAAAATATCCTCTGTAAAATCCTCAAAATTGTATTTCGCTTTTATCCTTCTCTCGAAAAACTTATGATGAATTCAAAATAGTGCAATGCAAAATTCTATCAATGATATCTTTTTTAAAAGCTTTGCTTTGATTACTTAAGCGTCTAAGTGTACTAAAATGACAAATTTTAAGATCATCATGTTTGTTCTCTCGAAAATATCCTTACAGTTGGACAAAAGTACCATATTTTATCTACAGGGTGTCCGGAAAGTCATTGACCAAAAGTTTTTTCGTTTATCTTTACTATTTCATTTAACTTTATCAGTAATTTTTTTTTAAATTATAGGTGAATATACCAAGTTTTTATTTATCCGAACGATCTTCCATATTATTGTGCAAAACTATCACCTTGGATCAAGATACAAAAATTTTACTCTCTTTTTATTTCCAGAAAAACATTATGTAGCGTTTTTTTTTCTTTAATTATTTCGACTTCCTGTAGTAGTTTTCTGTACATTTTGCTTCAAAGAAAAGGTTTAAAAAATTTTCAATATACATATTCTTGTAGAACTCGACAAGCTCAATCTAACCATATGAAAATATCAAAGAAAAAAACCTCAGTCGATTGTTGAATTACTCGCTTCTTACAAAGAGAGCCAAATTTTTGTATCTTGATCCAAGGTGATAGTTTTGCACAGTAATATGGAAGATCGTTCGGATAAATAAAAACTTGGTATGTTCACCTATAATTTAAAAAAAAATTACTGATAAAGTTAAATGAAATAGTAAAGATAAACGAAAAAACTTTTGGTCAATGACTGTCCGGACACCCTGTACATTTATCGAGAACCATGTGTACTCCAATTTTTAGCTCAATAGCTTGCATAGTAACTGAAATTCAAGGGGGGGGGGGAGGGGGAGGGATACTTTTGTTGGGCACTGTAGCTAAAATTGGTACTGGTTTATTGGATTTATTATTAGATGTTGAAAAATGTGCTCATGCTATGGAATTACCTTGGAATTTTTCACAGCGATATAATAAATAAGTCCCATAGGATTATTTCCCGTCGGGGCCAATAGATGAAAGGATAAGATCTTTCCAACCTTTTCTATTCTGAGCTAGATGGAAAAGATCCTGTATA